GAACGCCTTTAAAAACAGGTTTGGAACAGTCCGTACAATTACTTTTCATTAGACAGTGGAACTTTGATCCATTTCAGATGGATCAACCTAAAAATCTCCTTACCTCAACATAACAATTATAAAACACACTCAAGAAAACTAAATTGGGTACTCACATACCAGCACACTCGAGAATTGAAGTAACTAAATTAATCAGTAACTCTAGCATTAAGGTGATTAAGTTTTAACTCAAGAAGTTTGAAATCAAAAAAATCCAACGAGGGAAATGAGTTTTCACTTGAGAACTAAAGTTTTTGGTTGGACCATTGAGAGACTTCGGTTGTCCACCTTTCCACCGAAGGTTCACTCTAGTCCACTTCAAAAATATGTAGTCTTCTTTCGCAATCGTTCTGCTTCCTATTTCAGGATAGGAAAGCTCTACTCTCGTGTTATTTATATCTGGAAATTGCAAGTAGCAATTTCCCGCTGCTTTTTTCAACTACTTTCACGTGATTGTAATTCGGTTGTTCTGATCTTGCATTTCTGAGATTTTTAGTTGTCGCTAGAAAGTGGAGCATGACAGGCTCAATTCGAATTTTCGAAAAATTACATTTCACCCCAAAATTACTTCGTTTGTTTTCTTAAGGTCAAATTTCCAAATATGACCGACTGGCACAATGTTACATCATTTTTTTATTAAGTTTTCGAGATCGATGTTTTTTGTGAGTTTTTAAAGAATTTTCAGAAAAGTTAAATTATTATTTTTTAAAAATCTGAAGTTCCCAACCTTGTTGTTAGGTGCTGTCAGAGTACTCTAAGGAATTACAAACCTTGCCCCCAAATGTGACTGTTCAAATCTTTGCAGTTTTCGATATATGTCGTTTTTTGTGACTTTACCAAAAAAATTCAAGAAACTTATATTATTTTTTTTCGCAAAAACTGAAATTCCCAACCTTGTCGTTGGGTCCTGTCAGAGTACTCTCAAAGATTGCGAATCTTGCCTCCAAGTCTGACTGCTCATGTGACATTCGACCAGAATGGTCAAAAATGCAATTTCGAAATCATAGCCGCTGACCTGGAAGATTAACTGTTTTAGCAGATTAGCGACGTTATTTAAATGATTAGACGAATCGTGAAGGTCAGAATAATCTTGAATTTTTAATTTTCAAAATTTCGAATGATGACGTCAAACTTCTGAGAAACGTCGAAACGGCTGTTTTTGGAAAAAAAACAAGAAGAAAAACAGAACAACAATAGTTGCGATAGAATTAACGACGAGAAAATAACGAGATACAACTGGGGATTATCAGAGACACTCCGAGTTGTAACGATTGTGTGGCTACAATCGTTACAGAGCAATTCACGCAAACGGTGAAGGGTGTTGGGACAGTGTGTGTCCAGCCTTCTGGAAAGGAGATAAGAACGTTATTTCCCCGGATTCCAGAATCCGGAGGGGTCTCGAGAACTGAACTCAAACTATTTTATACAAACTTTTAGCTTCCTGGCTATGTCCTGAATTGAATTTAATGTCCTGATATCTAGATTCATGTTCAGATAATGCGAAGCTAGGAGTTGAGGGAACGAGTTGATCCATGTTCGATGGAGATGATGATTTTTATCTACTGAACAAAAACAATAGTGATATAGTAAATAGTAGTAGCCCTGTTTTTAGGAGTAACCTGAGCTCAAACTATTTTATACAATCTTTTAGCTTCCTGGCTATGTCCTGAATTGAATTTAATTGATATCCAGGTTCATTTTCAGATAATGAGAAGCTAGGAGTTGAGGGAAAGAGTTGATCCATCTTCGATGGAGATGATGAGTTTTATCTACTGAACAAAAACAATAGTGATATAGTAAATAGTAGTAGCCCTGTTTTTAGGAGTAACCTGAGCTCAAAATATTTTATACAAACTTTTAGCTTCCTGGCTATGTCCTGAATTGAATTTAATTGATATCCAGGTTCATTTTCAGATAATTTGAAGCTAGGAGTTGACGGAAAGAGTTGATCCATCTTCGATGGAGATGATGATTTTTATCTACTGAACAAAAACAATAGTAAAATAGTAAATAGTAGTAGCCCTGTTTTTAGGAGTGACCTCGTGGTATGGGGATACTGAGAACCAGCCATGAGCTCACTATTCTTGCATATAGTTAAGTTAATTTGAGTGTTTTGACCGAAGCCGAAAGCAGTAACGTTTTTGTCGACCCGATGTTAGAAAGACCCCCAAAAGAACTGTTTTTGGCAGAGACGGTGAAAAGCATGTAGAGCTGTGTTCAGATGCTAGCCAGTCGTTTTAGAACCTAGCTTTATTTTCCGTCGATATGTACTTCCGGGTGAATTTTACATCAATTTTTGTAGTTTTCGAGATGACGTTTTTCGTGATTTTTTGAAAAATTTTCAGAAAAAATTAAATTATTATTTTTTAAAAATCTGAAATTCCCAACCTCGTACTTAGGTGCTGTCAGAGTACTCTCAAAGATTGGGAATTTTGCCTTAAAGTATGACTGTTCAATTCTCTGTAGTTTTCGAGATGGGACGTTTTGGTGATTTTTTCCAAATTTTCAGAAAACTTGAATTATTTTTTAAAAATCTGAAATTCCCAACCTTGTACTTAGGTGCTGTCAGAGTACTCTAAGGAATTACAAACCTTGCCTCCAAATGTGACTGTTCAAATCCTTGCAGTTTTCGATATATGTCGTTTTTTGTGACTTTACAAAAAAAAATTCAAGAAACTTATATTTTTTTTTTCGCAAAAAACTGAAATTCCCAACCTTGTAGTTGGGTCCTGTCAGAGTACTCTCAAAGATTGCAAATCTTGCCTCCAAATCTGACTGCTCATGTTACATTCGACCAGAATCGTCAAAAATGCAATTTCGAAATCATAGCTGCTGACCTGGAAGATTAACGGTTTTAGCAGATAAGCGACGTTATTTAAATGATTAGACGAATCGTGAAGGTCAGAAGATTTTGGAATTTTTAATTTTCAAAAATTCGAAAGATAACGTCAAACTTCTGAGAAACGTCGAAACGGCTATTTTTGGAGAAAAAAAAGAAGAAAAACAGAACAACAAAAGTTGCGATAGTATTAACGACGAGAAAATAACCAGATACAACTGTGGATTATCAGAGACCGCTCCGAGTTGTAACGATTGTGTCGCTACAATCGTTATAAAGCATTTCACGCAAACGGTGAAGGGTTTTGGGACAGTGTGTGTCCAGCCTTCTGGAAAGGAGATAAGAACATTATTTCCCCGGATTCCAGAATCTGGAGGGCTCTCGAGACCTGAACTCAAACTATTTTATACAAACTTTTAGCTTCCTGGCTATGTCCTGAATTGAATTTAACTGACATCCAGATTCATTTTCAGATAATGAGAAGCTAGGAGTTGAGGGAAAGAGTTGATCCATCTTCGATGGAGATGATGATTTTGATCTACTGAACAAAAAAAATAGTAATATAGTAAATAGTAGTAGCCCTGTTTTTAGGAGTGATCTGGGGATACTGAGACCCAGCCATGAGCTCACTATTCTTGCATATAGTTAGGTTAATTTGAGTGTTTTGACCGAAGCCGAAAGCAGTAACGTTTTTGTCGACCCGATCTTAGAAAGACTCCCAAAAGAACTGGCTTTGGCAGAGACGGTGAAAAGCATGTAGAGCTGTGTTCAGACGCTAGCCAGTCGTTTTAGAACCTAGCTATATTTTCCGTCGATATGTACTTCCAGGCGAATGTTACATCAATTTTTGTAGTTTTTGAGATGACGTTTTTTATGATTTTTTGAAAATCTGAAATTTCCAACCCTGTAGTTACGTCCTGTCAGAATACTCTCAAAGATTGCAAATTTTGCCTTTAAGTGTGACTGTTCAGTTCTCTAGTTTTCGAGATGGGAAGTTTTTGGTGATTTTTTCCAAATTTTCAGAAAACTTGAATTTTTTTTTTAAATCTGAAATTCCCAACCTTGTAGTTAGGTCCTGCCAGAGTACTCTCAAGGATTGCGAATCTTGCCTCCAAGTTTGATAAGTTTGACTGCTCAATTCTATGCAGTGTTTGAGATGTGACGTTTTTTGTGATTTTTTTCAAAATTTTCAGACACTAAATAAATTATTTTTCAAAATTTGAAATTGCCAACGCTCTAGTTCGGTGTTGTCAGGGTACTCTAAAGAGTTGCAAATCTTGCCACATGCTACTGCTAAACGCGACTGCTCAAATGCTTTTAGTTTCCAAGATGTGTAATTTTTGATTTTTTTCAAAGTTTCTCAAAGAACTTATCTACAAAGAAATTCAAAAAATTTGAAATTACCAACTCGATGAAAATACAAACCTTATTGTCAGCGTACACCCTGGCATCTCAAATCTTGCCTCTTAGTATGAATGCTCAAATCTTTTTAGTTTCCGAGATAAGACGTTTTTTTCAATTTTTTTTCCGGAAACTTAGGTTAAAAAAAATCACAAAATTTTGAATTCCTAACCCTATAGTAGGGTGCTCTCAGAGACTCTCAGTGGTTGCAAATCTGGCCTCCAATTTTCTCCAGAGGCTCATTAAGTTTTCTAGATGACGCTTTTAAAATGGGAATTAAAAAAAATATTAAGTACGAAATTACCAACCCTGTAATTGGGTGCAGTCAGAGTACACTTAAAATTTGCAGATGTTGTTTCCAATATATGCGGTTTTCATGAGTTGTCGAAAAATTTCGAAGCACCGGATGTGCGTTAAACGCTAGTTGAAGTTAAAATTGTCAAAACTAGACTTTGAAAACAGTCATTTTAGAGTGTAAAAATCTGAGTGGCGCTTAATTTTGTGCACTAGTGTACATGTTAGTATGAAAGTAGCAACATTTATCCTTCTATATATTTGTTTATCTTGGTTTTCTTATACTACGCTGAGTCAAACTTAGGCTTTCTGTTGCACGAAACAGCTTTAGATAACGTCTATCAGATGTAACTGCCGTTTAGTCATACTTGCGAAATTCTCACTTCTTGGAAGTTTGTGAAATTTTGCAGCGTACCGCCTAACTTTGAGCTTTCCGCCAAAACGAAACTGCCGTAAATGACCGACTGGCACACAAAATATAAAGCCGTTAAAATATTGAGTAGCTCAAAAGATTCAAGCCATATTTGAAGATTCTGACGTTTCTTATGGAAATGGCCAATAAATACATAAAATTGCTTCAAATGAGGATTGATTTAAATAGTACACTTGACATTTTAGAAAATGTCAAGATATGAAAATTTGCAACGCATCACAGCATTGGCGCCAGATTTTAGTTCTGGATATCAAGAAGTATGCCAGTTGATTGATGCGTGGTCTTTTGGGCGATATCAAGTAAGAGGTTTTGCAGTTCAATAATATTCTTTTCCTAAAAGTATTCACTGATGCTGACATTTAATTGTGTACAGGGGTGGATCTAGGATCGTCTCGAGGGGGGGGGGGGAGGGGTGTGGCGGATTTTCAAAAAATTCAAAACTTTTGTAAATCGCTATATAGACCTCATTTTGGACTAAATTTCTGCGCGCAGGCTAATTTATGAAAAAAAAAAACGCCATGAAAGGCGTTTACAGGCACTTTTTGGAAAAGTTTGACAAAGAAATAGCGGTTTTTCGGCGCGTGCTCGCCCCTCAAAGTTAGTATAGCCCAAGGCGCTTTTAGAAAATTTTTGGGTCCTTCAGCCAAAAATGGATAGCTCTAAATAGTACAAAAGAGGGACCCTTTGGGTCGGCAGGGGCTCGAATTCGTGAGAGGGGGAAGGGTGGGGGGGGGGGGGGGGTTGAGAGGTGTCCGCAACCACCCCCTCCCCCAAATCCGCCCCTGGCCGCGTCATAGAACAACTTAGCCAAATGTTTATCCACCGCTGGCACATTGAATGGTCCTCCACAGGGGCGCATCTAAGATTTTCTCCAGGGGGGAAACGGATTTTCAAAATTTTAGCGACTTTTTTTTATTTCGACAAAAATTTGTCGAAATAAAATTTGCCTTTGGGTCGGCAAGGAGGGTTCGAATCCCTGGGGTAAGGCGTCCGCGGGGCGTTAATTGAGACCAGGGGTGGATCTAGGGTTTTCTCGAGGGGGCGGATTTTTCACAAATTTTCAAAAATTTGGTCGACCTATTTTTTTTTGGTCGACGAAAGTGAGTTACGAGCTCTCCCAAAGCCCTAAAAAGACCGTTTTACAGGAAAAATTTTGAAAAATAGGCCAAGACGTTTTAAGGCACTTTTTGGAAAAATTTGTCTAAAAAATCGCGTTTTTTCGGCGCGCGCTCCCCCTCAAAATTACTATATATTGGCGCCTAAGGCGCCTTTCGACAATTTTTAGGTTCCGTCACCAAATATGGATATTTCAAAATAGTACAAAGGGGGTATCCTTTGGTTTGGCTAGGGGGTCGAATCCCTGAGGAGAAAGGCGTCCGCCGCCCCCCCCCCCCCCAATCCCAAATCCGCCCCTGATTGAGACAGAGGGGTTCCAAAAAACTGCAGGGGTTCATTGTAGAAAATGCAATGATGACAAATTCTCAGGCTACTGCTTCTATTTCGCAAATCAGTTCACATAGTGTTTGGGTTTGATTTCTATAAGAAAACATTGACAACGGCCGAACGGCTGCTTTAACGTATATACTTAATTTTGGCATTATTTGTGTGACGTGGCACCCTTCTTTCACAATTGTTTTTTGCAGAAACCCTTAGTTCACATTTGTTCTAATTGAAAAGTGTTGCTTCTTGCGTGCGAAAACCTTAAAAGCTTGGTGGTTTGCAGGTATTGCTACTACTTTTATGCTCTGCGGGATATTTCGCGGTTTGTGCCGACTTACTTTTGATTGTTTACATTGAACCATCACTGGAAGCCTCATTCGGAATGTCTAACATGGATTTTGCGTTTCTGAATTTTGCCACCTGTATGTCGTCCAATGCGGGCGCTGTTGTTTTTGGATACTTTTCAGACCGTAACGGGAGAAGAACTCCTTTTATCTTATCGGCAACTATTGCCGCTTTGTTTGGAATCGGCTCTATGCTGTCGAACTCATATTGGCTCCTAATGGCCTTGAGGACGGCAGTCGGGTTCGGGTTGGGGGGATTGGCGAGTATTGATTTCCTCATTTTCAATGAAATGTGTCCAAAAAGAGTAAGAGGCAAAGCCACTTTGGTCATCACAGTTTTCGGAGCACTGGGGGTTCTTTTAATGGCAGGTGAAAAACGAAGCAGAACAGCTTTCTTACGTCTAACAAACATCCTACTGTTTGTATACTGATCAAATTGTTTTCATTTTCACGCTTAAAATTTCCAATAACACACCTAGCCTTTAAAATCGTTTGCATTCTACTTGCCTCTTGATAACTTAATTTACAGTAGTTGTCGTTCAATACAAAAGTTTGTTTATTTCAGGGCTCAACTTAGTTCCTTGGAACGAGTATTTGCCTACCAGTGAAAAATGGAGATTCATGATATTCATTGGAGCACTGCCTATGCTGGTAGTTTGTATAGCGAGAGCTTTTCTGATTGATGAATCTCCGAAGCATCTCGTTTCGGTCGAGAGATACTCCGAAACAATTGAGGTGTTGAAAAAGATAGCAAGGTGGAATAGAGAGAGGTTTGAACCAGAAGCCGATACTCCGACTTTGCATCGTCTGAGCCTTGAAAGCAGGTTGGTTTGCGCGTTATAATTATTTTGTTATTTAAAAAAAGCAGCACTAGTTAATAGAAATTTAATACATAGAATGTTAATTATGCCACGAATTTTATAAACTCATAGTTAACAGCCTTGAAAGGTAAGACAAGATAAAAAACAAGTCTTTTGAATTGTTTCACGGTATAAATTGTTAAATTAGCTGCAATGAAAAATCCTTTTAGCTCTGATCTTGATATATCTCTTGATGACATCGCAAAACCAGGTATTGTGACACGTTTTCTCTGGCATCCTTTGAAAGCATACGGATCAGTTGTCGCCTACAACCCAAAACTGGCTGTTTGTCTGTTCAGCTGTTGGCTATTCCAGGGTCTGGCTAATTGGGGCCTCACATTATTTCTTCCCGAATATTTGACTTCTAAGGAAGGGCTTTGACACCCACACCACATATTCAATAAACAGACGATAATGACTGTTCAGATGTTACTGTATTTGTATGAAATGCAAGAACGACTTTTTAATAATGCGCGAGTAGCAGTGTTTTATGCTTATTATTTTAAAGAGGAGAGGATAATAAATACTCGACTATTTTTTTCTCAATTATTTTTCATTGATTTTCTTTTTTATTGACGTTGATTAGCGATGGTGGTTGTCGAAGTAAACAAGAAATCTTCTGAAGTAAAAATAAAATGGTACCATGAAAATGTGCTATGAATCACTCGACCCATTTGAAGTTTTTTGTAAAACTCAACAGGATTGTTGAGAATAAGTTCTCTAATATCTGCTTTTCTAACGTTAAGTTTCAGCATAAGTGGTGTCAAAACCAACTTCTAAGGGCGCTATATCTGCTGATCTGACTATTTTCTTGATGGTTGCTTGTGAGCTGCCGGGACTTCTGTTGGCGTTTTGTCTCGTGGACGTGCCATTTATTGGACGACTGAACCTGATGAGAAGTCTGTTTCTACTAGCTGCAATGTCATCTCTGGCAACTGCTTTCATTCACCAGCAACTGCTCATTGGTAGGACTTTATTTCAGATTCATTTAAAATATTATTGTAGTATTCCAAGTGCGCGAAAATTATGTTTTTTTTTCGAAATCTTGATGCATTAAGAAAATCCGTTTCAGCTCAAAATGGTTTAATTTGATACTTCAAGTACGTTCGAAACGTTTTACTGCTAATTGCTGTCGTTTATTCGGAAAGTACGTCCCGCGGAAAGTACGTCCGAAAAATTTGACCAAGGGTTTCTCTTTTTTTTCGTAACTTAGAGAGCATCTAGACCACTGTTTCTCAGCGCTGCTGAGTTATTTTTTAACGTTATAAATTAAGATAACTTTAATATGAAATTCTACTTCGAGTTTTATCCGAGCCTTATATAAGGTACCTGTAATGGCGAGGACAAAATGCTTCCTAGGCCATAGATCATTCCAACTTATGACCTTTTCAAACAATGAGAATCAAATATGATGTCTGCTATTATCATCCTAATTTAAACAGTTAAAAAAAGTCTGAAATATTGCCACAATTTAAGAAATGATGCGGCTAATTTGTGTCGTTTCAGTTGTGAGCTGTTGCGCCATTTATTTCTTCATGATTCCTAACTGGGGAGTACTCTACACCTACTCCTCAGAGGTCTACCCAACCGAGATGAGGTCCACGGCCAATGGATTGTTCCAGCTGCACTCTCTACTTGGGGGAATGTTCTCCCCCTTTTTAAGTGGCAAGCTGGTCGACAAGTTCACTGCTAATAATGGCTCACAATCTGAAGTGGACTGTTACATGCTTGCATGGACTTCGTGTTTGTTTGTCGGATTCATTTCGTCTCTGCTGTTGAGAAAGGAGACATTAACCATCTCTCTCTAGAGCGTGCAGTCCGTTCAAAATCAAGTGACTGAAATCTGGTCATACTATTCGATCTTAATCTCTCCACTTCGATCGTTTATTTCGTCATTAACAGTGTTATGTTGTAATTTATTGAATTGAAGCTGCTCTATATTCAGTTTGTATTTTTGCTCTGGTTTAATAAACAGGTTACAGTTATGTTTTTTTTTCAATTTTAACCAACGGTAAATGCTTACTAGAGAAAGAAGGGAATAAAACACAACGCTGTTAAGTTCAGTTCTTTTCAGAATAAAACGCAACGCTGGTAAGTTCGTTTTCTTTTCAGTAAGTTCGTTTCTTTTCGCAACGCTGGTAGCTTCGAATAAAGTTATTCACCGTTATTAAAACCTCTGACATTAAACTTGTTTTTTTTACTACATAAGGACAACAAAACCACTTGAAACAAACGCCTGGCTTGATGTAAATTTAATAAAGTTTTTTTGGTTATATCTGAGGCGGTACAAAATTGAAACGAAAAATTTTCACGACAGAAGGAAGTTATCACTCATAAAGATTGTCTTTTTTCGTTCGTTTTTTTTTGCGGTGAGATTATAAAACCTGGTTTTTTTTTATTGTCATCAAACGAAGTCTTAATGGTTTGTTTAGTGTTACATCAACCTGCCGAAAAATCAGGTTTACAATTTTTAAATGTCATGTCGATTCAACTTGATTAACATCGGCTTGATTAGCTGCATCCTTTTAAGCTCTGAGGCATTATTTCCTTTAAAAAATTTTATATCGAGTTCTTCACCCGCAAAGGTATTGCTGTTTTCACGCCTAACCCTTACTTTTTTGCTTACATTTGCCAAAAAATGTTGTAGAGTGAAGAGAGAATTTTTATATTTCTCTAGAATGCGATGCATATCATATTGAAAAAACCCTGTCATTGCCTGGAACTTGTAATTTTATCTTTTTACTTGCGAGAGCAAATGTTTTTGTAATTGGCCAATAGTGTTTTTCAATGTAATTATGCATGTGAGGTGTAGTGTATTATTACGAAGAATTTATTTTCCAACCTACGTCGCAAATAAAAGTGGCGCTTTTGATATACTTCGGTGGCACTTTTGGTATACTTCAATTGAATCATATTTAAGCATCAGCATTTTACTAGCATGTGTTGAGGCTTTTTTTGACTAGTTTAAGGTTCTGTTATTGGAATTAGTTGTTTTTTTTTTGCGACGCTTTGGAAAATTATTGCATTTTTAGCAGAAATTTCAATGTTTTTCACAAAACTACTTAGCCGACTTTCGAAAAATTGAAACAATGGACAAACTGGCGGCTCTTTTATGTGCCTGTCTATTTTGCTGGCTTCTTTTCATTTCACCCCACCACGTTCTACGGCTTTCAAAATTTTCGGAAGCAGGATTTTTTACATGTATTTTATTTTCATTTTCTCAAATATTAAATGCGCAAATCTGAAATGTACGCTTCAATCAAAAGAATAAATTGTGGAATCTCCCCTTCTCAAAATCAGCTTTTCTCTGAATTCGATAGATAAAAAATATTGCCTCAAAGAAGACCTTTTTCGGCATTTTGGCTAATTCTTAAAATATTTTGACTTTTCTCAAAAACTACCCTGCCAAATGGGAAATCAAGGGTTGAACGGAAAGAAAAAACCAAATATGCGAATCTTCCCTGTGTGAGTGCCTATTCCCTGTGTTATAAAAAATATGGCTTCAGAAAATGTCCAATTTTTGACCTGTGTAATCTGTTACACTCTGTTTTGTTTGTAGACATCGCACAAAATCCGTTTTTTACCCTGTATTCAAGAAAAAGACTAGGTAAATCTGATATAAAGGGTTCAATCTAAAAATGAGGGTGTAGAAGTCTTTCCTGCATAAGATGCTATTTACATGCGTTATTAGAGAAAAGTGAATGTGTTAAGGAAACGTCAAACTTCACAATATTTGATCGTTTCTTGGAATCTACTTTTCACCTTTTTTTTCGAAAAATACCCAGCCAAATCTGAAATAAAGATTTCAGTTGAAAGAGCGAGTAGAAGTTTTCTCCTTCAAGTTAGCGGCTATTCCCCTACTAAGTAGGGAAATCACTAGTGTTTTGTGTTAAGTTCATTTTTTGAAACTTTGAAATTTCGGTATCGCATTTCGGTATCAGTACAATCAAAAATCGAAATATTAAAATAGGTGCATCCAGCATTAACTCGGCCAGTAGTTTCCCTCCAAGCGACCGTGGCTTAACTATGAGGACGTGAGACTCCTAATCAATAGGTGGGAGACTCAAATCCGGAAGATTGAATTGCTTTTTTTTTGGTCGAGTTTTTGCTGCATAGCATTGGCAATTTGATTTAAAGAAACTGCAGCTGATTTATTGCTGGCTAGTGTAAGTAAAATTACAAGCAGATATGAGAACGTGTTACTCCTTATCTCATCAAAGTAATTTACCAAGATGTATTTTTAATCTTATAAGAGTAATGAACGTAGTGAAGACTCTATAGATCTCGGTGACTTTTTTTTCAGGAAAAAGTCCTAAAATGCTCCAGTAACTACAGATGTGCATTTATGAATACACTTAGGTATATATGCATTTTTTGAGTTCAATTGAAGTTAATCTGCTGAAAGTTACCTAAATAGAACTCTCCAAATACGAACGTGGAAATAGCGCGAAAAAAACGAACATTTTCTAGTTTCGAAAGTGGAATTTAATTTTTAGATTTCCAGCGGAAAAAACTGTACTTATCGATCCAGTTTTCTCAAGTTGGGTTAATGCTATCAAAAAAACGCCAATCATAATTTTTTTTGAAATTCCAAGAGCTTAAAGGGCATCGATTATTTTTTGAAATTCGAAAGGTGGGATTTTTTCAACTAAGTCGGTGTTTTTTTTTCTATTTATTTGCGTTCATTCCTCTGTTCCAACTGTCTGTTGGCTATGTTTTTGATTTTTCATGATTTCATTTTGTTTTGCCTGTTCAAAGTTTTTTTTTGCATTTGCGTTGCTTGTGTATGCGAAGCGCAGCTTTGCCTCTGTGTCAATGTTTTTTTTTTAAATTTTTAAGAAATTGATTTTGCTCATAAAATGGGTAAAACGCATGTCTTCACTTTTAAGTCTCTTGATTCAGACCATTACTTGTTTTTTTTTCGATATCTATAGAAAATAGATATATATTTTTAAGAAATTCGGATTATAGTTTGTCTGCTTTTTGTCCTCTTTGAAAGCATGCGCTTTTTTCTGATTTAAGCAATTATAACAAAAGTTGAGAGTCGTTTTTTGTAAAATTAGGAATTCTAATTTATTAGTGTTTTTCTGTTTTTCTTGCGTTTTGGCTGATGTTTCCATGGCTTAATCACCTTATGTCTTGTTTGAAGCGCTAAATTAGTTTTTTTATGCTGTGGAATGTTTCGGTAATGGTGGTGCGTAAAAGTTTATGGTTTCAAAACTTTATTGATTAAGTTCCTTGAAAATATTTTTCGGCTCAAACGTGTCAACCGAAGATTTGTTGTATTAATTATCTCTCATTGAAAGATTTTAAATGTCATTTGTGCTTATCGACATATTTTTTCATATTGAACATAAAATTAATTTGAAAGAATCGTTTAAAACTTGTTGTAGATGTAGTTTTTTCGACTGTTCAATTAATGTTTAGCCTTGCAATAAGCAAGGGTATTGCAACCGGGTACTTGACTTTTTTTTACTGGACTTTTATTCACATGATGTCCAATTTTAGTTGATCTTATAATCTGTACTTATGTCATTTTCAGCATGTCTGTATTGCGTATTTACCCTTGCTATCAGCTAGGGTATTACTGAAATCGGCTACTAGACTTTTATCTTTGTAAAGAACTAAGTTCACAGGACTCATTTCATCTCCTGGAATCCGTCATCTTGTTATATGCTAAATTTCTTAAAAATTCAAATAATTGTACAATAATTTCAGTAGTCAGTAGATAAAGGCCTTTTCAGATGGTAATTACTTATTCAAAAGTTTTCTCAATGTTTTGACGGTTCGTGGTTTTCGTCCTAATTTCTGTCGGCTCATTTTCTGTTTTTTAACGCTATTTTGTGAAACGCCATTGGTATGGGTTTTATTGGCTTAATTTTCAAAGCATGGGTTTTGTTTTAATTTGAACCTTTTTTTTAGTATAACTGAAAGTTCACTAATTCAAAAATTCGACAGGTTTTGACCCAAAGTTTGTCGTGCTCGTTAAATGATTTTTGTAAGCCTGCTCATGAACTTCATCATATACAAGCATTTTCGTAGCTGTATATTTTTCTTGTTTTTACAAGTTATTTTGCAAGTAATCTTTTCAACTGATGTTTTCAAATTTTTTTGACTTGTCCTTTTTTCAAGCACTATCTTGTAGAGCAATATGTTTTTCGCATCGCAAGTGTTGCGAAGCTCCGCTTCACCTCTGTACCGACAATTGTTTTATGCTGGTTGTAAATGTACCATCTCCAATTTGTTCCACCTCTTCATCTTTAAGTTTTTTTGTACTTAAACGGCTTCAATAGATTTGGATTATTTCTCCGGGTAGTTACTTGGTTATTGCAACCGGGTGCTAGACTTTTTTCCCGTAAACAATTTTGTCCACAGAATTCGCACGTGTCTTACTGCACTGATGTAAAGATGCAGCTGCTTAGATGCAATGTAGCATGTGCATGTTAGGTATGGGCCTTGTGTGCCTGTTATGAGTTCCTTTAATATATATTTTTTCGTTTTCGATTCGTTTTTTTTTTTCGTTTTCATTCAATTGTCCTAGTTGAGATGCTTTTCTCAAAAGAAACTTTATTGATGACAATTTGCGACCAACATAAAATAGATCTAGATTTTTTGACAGTGGTTTTTGTTCAATTTTGATGCCGCTCTCATATTTCATGTTGTGCTTGTATTGTATCGCAAGAGGTGCGAAGCTCTCCGTTTGATTTCCGTCTCATTTTCTAAACACCTTCATAGCTGCCTGGTCTTTACTCTAAGAGGAATGTGCTAACAACGTAAAGCGGTAAAGAGAGATGGGGCAGCCACTCTCAAAAGACTCAGCAGCTGTAGCTCTGGTTTCCGAATCACGTAGAAGACACTATCTTTTTATTTTTCCCAATCTTATTTTTGTAATTTGTGACGTTTTAAAGTTCCTTGTGCCGTTATTTTCGTGTTTGCTTTCATAATTCACAGTGAAATTTATCTTACAATCAGAGAAAGGAAAAAATGACTTTTCGAAAAAATTTTCTCATGTAAGGTTTGTTTTTTAAGAGTAATGAACGTGGTGAAGACTCTTATATAGGTCTTGCTGATTTTTTTTTCAGGAAAAAGGTTTGAAGTATTCATGCATTTAGGTATATATGCACTTTTTGGTAACTTCCCAAATGGCATAATTCCCAAATGGCATAAAAATTAAACTCTTCTCAAATGGCATAAATGTCAAGTTTTCATGGTAATTCAATCATTTTCTAGTTCTAACTTTTTGTCAAGAGCGGAAGCTTGTGAACAAGATTTAGAATTAATAGCTTCTTAACAAATGTTAAGCGACAATTTTGTCAGAAAAATTGACCACAGCAAGCTTATTCTTTTCGCTTTTGATAATAAATTCTGCAATTTTTTCAAGATAAAATGTCAATCAACATTTGAATTGACAGTTTGACTAATTTTCCCCCATGGTTCACGAAAAAGTTTTTCTCGATTTTTCTAATGCAACTGTTGCATGAAATTTATGCCATTTGGGAATTTTTTCATTTTTGTGCCATTTGGGAATTATGCCATTTGAGACGTAATCCACTTTTTGAGTTCAATTCAAATTCATCTGCTGAAAGTGGCGTAAATAGCACTCTCTAAATACGAACGTAGAAATGACGCGGAAAAAAACGTGAACGATTTCTAGTTTCAAAAGTGGAATTTAATGTTTAGATTTCCAGCGGAATAATAACTTTACCTGTTGATCCCGTTTTCTCAAATTGGGTTAATGTTATCAAAAAGACAACAATCATAAATCGTTCTGGAAATTCAAAGAGCTTGAAGGTCATCTATTTTTTTTGAAATTTGAAAGTTTTCATGCTTACTTGCGTCCATTACTCTTTTCCAATCTTCGATTGGTTATGTTTAAATATGTGTCAACCTCAAATTATTATTGAAAATGAAAGAGCTTTTATATGATTTTATTTTGTCTTTGAAGAGAAATAAACAGTAATTTTTGTCTGCTTCCTTGAGTACATCAACACTTTTCTCCTCAGTAAATGCGTGCTGTTCAATTTAATTCCAGCGTTCAAAGGTAAAGTTCAGAAATTACCTTATCTTCTTAAAATACTGCATTACTTTGAATCACTTCGTATTTTTTCGTTGACGTATACAACTTTGCGGCACCTAAAGGTGTGCGACCTGTCGAATTTTTTCCGTGCGTAGTCAAATTAGAATAAGTTAATTTTTTTCGGCAAGGAAAATTGTGCTAGTGTGGTGGGCTTGTCAGTTCAGCTCTAAATGAGTTCATCAAAATGCAAAGGGTCTGAGGACAAGTTTCAAACAAGTGATTTGATTTTCTTTTTTAGAAATCAATCAACGCCTTTAGTTTCATGCTGCTGTTCATTGATGTGAGTGTGTCTTCAGCGAGTCATTGCTGTTCTCGGAGAGATATTTTTATAACGAACTTGGACAACGGAGTGTTTTTGATTTAAGACTGGAAAAACTTTTTCGCAAAAAGTAAGAAAGTATGTTGGCTTTTCCGCGCAAAGTAGTTGGCTTTTACGAGCAAAAAGTAAGAAAACGTGTACTAGCTTTTCCGGGCAAAATAGTCATATAACTTGGAGTCAGCAAATCTGGGTACAGGAGGATATTTTGCAGAGGCCGCCGTGAGAATGAAATGATCTGATATCCTGTTTACAAGGATCACTACTTGAGCGATTGCAGAGGCTAGTGCATGTTGCTTGTTTTCAACAGGTATATGGCTCGAGACCAATCGTGATTGGTGCTCGTTGTTTTAAGTGGGGAGAAAAACTTCCAACTCCAGAGAAACAAAAAAAACAGAAGTATGCAGCTTGTAACCTGGAACTTCGGAACGGTTGTTTGAAGAGCTGAACAGCTCATTTAGTCATTTTCTTCGTAGATGAAAGATCTCAGTTTCAAGTTTAATGCCTTTATTTAACAGGGCAATTAGTTTTATGAACGGATACTTGAATAGTTTTATAGTTGTATAGCAATTAGTTTTATTAGCGGAAATTGTATAAACCAAATGTGTCAACCTTATGGCGTTTTTGTTCGAACTCAGAGCAAAATGAAACGGATGAATTGTTTGAGAGCTTCTATCAAACGCCTGGCTTCCTTGAAGCTTGCCATTGACCAACTGTTGGCTTGAAATGTTTGAGCTAAAGCCTGTATATTGTATCAAATCACTGTTCAACCAAAACTAACAATTTGATCGATCTGTCTTTACATGTTTACTTTAACGACAAACTAATAGTTTGATTAGCATAGTTTGCTCTGAGTTTGGTTCTGCATATGGTGTGTTAAAAACGAATTCGAGTTTTATGGCGGACTGACTTTATCTGGTGAAAAGTAGATCAATTTTTCTTAATCGTGCTTTACCACCATAGTTTCAATAATTTTATCGTTTTTTTGCCAAAAATACGAGCCTTTTTAAAATCAGCCATGGTATTTTTTATCTTTTTCTAACTAGTTCATTGAAAACTATTGATTTGTTTCATCTCAAGTAACCTTTATTTACGGCCGAATCTTTCATTGCATTAGTTTAATTTTCGGATTTTTCTTTGCTAACCATATTTGATCGATGGAACTAAAGCAACATCTTGCCAAATTGATTATCCGAACTTGTTAACATTACAGGATTGTTTATTTAACTAATTCTCAATAATGTCTAAGATTGAATACTGAAAATGGAGCCGACTTCAATTTCAGAACGATCTGCTGTCCTATCTACCTCTTCTGTCGACGTGCCACACTATGGCTCTTTGGAGGGCCATGATGGACCACGAATAGCCGCCAACAGTGAGCCAGACTCTCCTTTGATTGGAGGAAGACAACCTCCTCATAAAGCAAAAGTAAGATTTAGTTGAACTCTGTGAGAGCAAGTGTCTTTGAACCTGCAACTGGACTTTTCCCTTAAAGTTTCACGCAAACTTGCGAAATTCCCACATTCTCGTGCTCAGTTGACAGTTCCAGAACACGAGATATGGGGATTTAGGCTAGCCAGGGATAACACAACGTGGTTTTTGCCTCCCAGATTTGACCCCCGAAAATTTTTGAAGTTTTGCCTACCGTCGAAAACCCTTAGATCCGCTCCCGCTATTGGGTTTTGGTTAAGCAGCGAGATTTCATCATTTCGGTCAGTGATTAAGAGTAATGAACGTAGTTAGTACTCTTATATAGGTCTTGCTGATTTTTTTTTTAGGAAAAAGTCTTTAAATATATTCACGCTCAATTTTGATTTTTTGCTGTTTGACTTGTGATTTTTTTGTAAGTTCAGTGCATTTCTATTGTTGAAAGAAAGGCAATTTCCACTATCGAACAGCGAAATTGTAAAGGTCACGGAAAACATGATCAGCTTCTAATTTCGAAAATGGAAAATAATTATCAGATTTCACAGCGAAATAAAAGTTTTACCTCTTGAACTAGTTTTCTCAAATGGGTTAATTTACATTAAAAATTGTCCATCATAAAGTGTTCTATAAATTCAAAGTGCTTTAAGGCCATCTATTTTTTTCTTTGAAATTCAAACGATTTTTCATGAAGATTATTTACACGCGCAAGAAACTTATGTTCTGGCCATCTACTGGAAAAGACTTACTCTTCTGGCGTGTTTTTTTCTTATCACAAATAAACATCAGAGGTGGCTGAGTTATACATCCTCCTCAAGCTCTTGTAATCGTGATGAGATATGTATTGAAACACTTCAGAGTTCTTGGTGTCGATATCGCTTTCAGATTCATTTTAAGTTCTAATGTTCCTACGTTTGCTTTATACGCTGATAAACACTCTTGGTGTTTTTGTTCTGACCATTTGAAAAATGGGGAGGAACTTTGTATTCGGGTATATTTCAGCTTTTTTGTTTTCATCTCAAAATTAGATACTACAAATAATCATCGGAATAAGTATAATGATGTATTATTAATGCGTCATTAAATGGTTAGCATATCAATTTGTACAAGGCATCCGCGTGTGGGCAACAAAAATTATTCTTTTTTCTCAGTTCATGTATTTCAATTGTTGGAAGGTTTTTAATTCTACTTGTATAGCAATTTTTTATTTCGTCTGTATTCGAAAAATTCGATATTGAATATTTTCGATTTTGGGTTTATGAATTTAGGTCCTTTCTTGTTCCGACCATTGAAAGTGGGAAGGAACGTTGTATTCGGGTGTTTCACTTTTTTTTGCTTTCCACGCTAAATCAGCTACCACAAATCATCATCGGAGAAGGCTCTATCATGTTTGAGTGGTATATTTGGTGGAATATCATATTAAAGCATTTTCAGTCGTGATTCGAACGATATTTAAAAAAATTCTAGAAAATTATCATTGTTCCGAAAAACTGCTTTTAAGTTTTTGATTTTTAGTTCAATTTCGAACGAAAAACGCGATCGAGTAAGGTTCATTATATGGAAATTATCTATTTTTTTTAAAAAAAAAACTAGGCTCGATAAACCTGATTTTACTGTCAAGAAATTGGTTTTGGATGTTTCTTTCAGCGCTTATTTGACAAAAATGATTTTCAAAAAAAAAATTTAAAACTATTGTATAAAAAATAAAAATTAACTTAGAATATTTTTGCATTTTTTGTTTGGTATTCATTTTTGAAAACAAATTTTGTCGGTTGTGCCTAATTGGCTTGTCTTATACGCGATTGTGTAGTTCTCAAATAACCCACTAAAAACGACACTAATTTGAAAAAAAAATTAAAATAGTTTTATGAATATAGTCGGAACATCCTATGCTAATTGCACAGCAACCTGCTATCCTTGCTATATAATAACAATGTTATAGACACGCTTAGTTTTTTGTTTTCTTGTGGACGCTCGATTTTACGCGGTTTTGACTATCAGTGTTTAATAAAATTTTGATGTGCAAAAGCACTGAGGTATTTAATTATGTTTAAAAGATTTTGCTCATAAAATGGTTAAGAATCAGTCAATTAACGAGTACAGTTTAGAGTCAAATTAAATTAGAAATTTTAAAGAAGTTGATGATCATCAACAAACGTTATATAATGATTTTTCCGTGTTGTTTGTTTGAACATCTTTATGTCAATTTGCAGCTCAACTGTCTGTTTTGGAACGCTTTTGTTGAAACTAAAATCAACTTATTGTTGCTGGATTATAAATGTGTCAACATTTTTCATCGGAAGTAAATGTATCCAATGCATTCAAAAATACTTATTTTGGTGTTGTTTCAGAATATGAACACAGAGACGCGAAGTCCTCGTGGACTCTCGGCGAATCGCCATGCGCCTCTTCGCAGCCAGCAACTCACTAAGAGCCAAATGTTTGCGGCAGCTTTCTTCCGCGTAGCCATTCCTCTTGCCCTAATATGTTCGTTCACCCTACGTGTGAATGCATTCTCAGGGGTTTTCCTCATTCTATTTTTCATACACCCTTTTGTATCTTCCCCCGGAAAACCGAGCAGTCAAATGCAGACGAAGTTGTTCCTAAGTGCTATCATAGTCATATCTACTCTATTTCTCTTAGCCCAAGGCTCCTTTCTCGTATCTCTTTATACTGTCGACGATCTACCGGGTGAATTTACATGTAACAGTACGATGGGAGAGACTTATATAGATATCGGCCTTGGGGATCTCTACGAAGCTTCATGGTGGATGTACTTCGTCTATTTCGGACCTGAAGTTGTCCTGATTCTGACGAGCGTTTGCTCGCTGCTATCACACGTGGTGGCATTGAATTCTCTCAAACCGCCGAAATCGACGCCAAGAACACCTCGACCTAGTAGAGACGAAAGGCAAAATGCTTCCGAGACAAGTAACTTGAGTTCGCCTGCTAGCGAAAAGACACCAAGTGATCGTTTCCAGAGAAGTTTTGCCTACGTAATTGGGATCCTGAACATCCTAGCTCTCATTGGTGCAGCCTGCTGTGTTCCTTCATTGATTTCCCTCGCTTACCTGCTAGTTTTTCTCACAATCGGAACCGGCCATAGCGTATCAGCATCGACCCTTCTTACTACAGGAATCAATAGTTTAAGTTACGTTTTGGTTTTGGTTTCGGCTCTGCATTTTGTGACAATTTACATTTTCCAATTTCATTTCATAGACGACAAAGTTGATTATGATTCAACGTGGCTCCGACTGACTGGAATAAAGCGGATTCTAAACTCTTCCTGCGTAGAAGCGGCAGAAGATAACATGTCTATGTACATCCACGATCTACCCACCGAGTATTACGTCCAGCCATTTGTAATACTAGTTCTCTACTACTTGATTGCGCACTATACTGGTTTCTGGGCCCAGTTTACTCCGAGCGATGACGCTTATTACCGGGATACGGAATCAAATCAAAATGTGAGCTTTCAGAATCGACATAGTCGAATTAGCAGGTCTTACATGCCCCCAGTTCTACAGAATTTCATGTCCCCGACGTTAGAAAGCACCTCGGAGTACGTGAAAAATTCGTTCCAGAAGTTCTGGTTCGTTCTCAAAAAGACGATAAGTTCCCTGTCGTATTTGGTATCAGTGGCTGTTCAGATCTTCTGGAGCGTGTGGTGTTTGGGACTCATAGGTCTAGTGTTGCTTCTAGTTGCAATTTATTTGTGGGTGCGTTCTAACTCCCAGATGCGCACACTAAATGCTGCTCCGTTTCTTGTTGTTTTCTGCACTGTATATATTTTGGTCCAGTATATCTTCAATCTTGACTACATAGACGGTGAATTTGTCGACAAAACACATACAATCGATTTCGGAACCTTCAATTTGACAATATCTCTTGAAGATATAAGACTGACCAAAGATTCCATGCCGCACATTTTATACCTGGGAGTGCAGTGTATTTTCCTGTGTGTTTTTTGGTTTTCGCTCAGAAGTTGTATCCAACACTACAAAGAAAAGCGAGGAAGAATCGACGAAACGCATTTGGGCTCCACGAATAGTGCAAATGGCGAAATACCTTTGGGCTCCATATCCGATGAAACTGAGAGCCGAAGAGAAACAGCAGATGATTCATCGACTCAAGCCATTCTGCAGAGAGTGCGAGAAATAGCCTCGGCTGTATGGATGTCCATTTGCATAGTAGTTCTGCTATTTGTAAGCACTCATGGATTCCCGACTGCATTCAATATAGTGTACATGTTGTTTTTCATAGTGTTCGCGAACTATACAGTTTTCACAGTGGGAGCTGGAATTACAGAATTGCCAGATTTTGAGAAATTTCTCCGACTTATTTTGTTATTCACCATGACTGCTTTGTGTGTGATATACATATATCAATTCTCTTTCTTCTTCGACCAGTTCGATTTTTTCAAGGAACAGCGCGACGTGCTGTCTCAGTTCGGCCTGACTAACTCGGTTTCGGACACCCTGGAAATTGTCTACCCGACAGCCGTTTTGCTGATTGTTATCAAAATTCAGTTCGACTTTTTCGGCGATTCCTTTAAAAGTTTCATGCGTCATTTCAAAACCAACTTCTCCGCAATGGAAGACGAAAGCTTGCCGCCAGGAAGCGAAACAAGGGCAACTGAAATGAGCAGAACCTCTGACGACCATCCAAGCGAACTTCATAACAAACAAATGTTCCGCAAACGTGTCAAAGCCATTGCCCAATACATCCGTGAAAGGTTATGGGTGTGGCTAGTTGTTCATACTGACAAACTGTTCCTCATGTTACTTTTCGTGGCAATAATGCAGGAGATTTCAGCAGTGAATTTGGGTTTCATGACGTTCTATGTACTAATGTGTACAATGCCGCAAGGTGCTGGAGGAGCTTTGAAGAAAATCTTATTCGTGCTGACGTGCGGAGTCGTGATAATCAGAATGGCGTACCAGAATCAACTGATTAATGAAAATGTATATTACGATGTCAAATGTGACAATACTTCAATTTCTAACCGAAGCTTCATCGATACAAATTTGTTCGAATGGATAGGGTTGACTGTTTACGATGACAAAAACGCGCCAGAGAAAAAGTCAGCCTTGACCTATCTTTGGTTCTATCTTCTACTCATAATTTGCGTGTTGCTCGAAAGTCTAATGCACTGTAGAATGAACGCGAAAAAGGCAATTTTGGAAAGACGAGCACAGAACGAAAACACAGGGCAAGCCAGGAAAGCGAGCGAGAACTTAAAAAAGTTAAAAATTATGCTCCACTATCGAATTATCTTCCCAGAAGTGAACCGAAAGAACGCCGATGATAGTTTGATCTCGATGCTCAAGTTCCTGACTAACTTCGTGTTTCATAAGTTTGGATTAGAAGTAACAGTTCTAACTGTTCTGCTAAATTGCGGACTTCATGCTGACTTTTACTCGAGCATTTACTTGTTGATTCTGGTTCCAATGATTCTATCGTCCAGGAAAAAACTACTGACCAAGGCAAATATTTTGACCTTAGTTACGGCTTTTTTCTTGATAATAAAATTCGTGTTTCTCTTATGGTTGCCCCCGCTGGACGTTTTTTGTGGCTTCACGGAGCTGAACTGGCTTGAACACCCCAAAAGATCGGTGGACACCTTGTCTCTCAAACGATTTTTCTTCATCCCAGATTTTAATGATCCCAAGAGCTACTCAATATCGGCTGGACGACTCCTCGGTGATTTTTTCCAGCTTTTGATTTTGAAATACCTGTTGACCAATTTAAGAGAGGAGAAGAATCAACATGGAACTCGTGCGATAAGCGATACACTCGGAGTGCGCGACATCAGCCCAAGGATTGCTGACATGGCAGGGAACAATGACGAGTGTTTGTCCGAAGAACATGACGAGAACTCAGCTTTAATTCCAGCCGAAGACGGTCAGGGGAAACGAATAATTTACTCCAAATCGAATTTCATCACCGACGAAAAAGATACCCTGAATGTAATCAAGAAAGTAATTTTCAGTCACGGAATCTGGGCTACGTACGCTGTTGTGTGTTTAACTGGAATGCAGGATGTGGATGTTTTCGGCTTCATTTTCTTCGGCCTTGGGTTCTATCTGCTGTGGGTGGGACAAGACATTGCTCTGAGACCCAGAAAGAACGCTGTATATCGCATGAATGTAATCCTGACCTACACAACGGTTACCTGCATACTTCGAGTTCTTTTCCAGCTGGTGCCATTTTACTGCTACACTGAGTTTTTCACCGATGGAGGTCACGCTGACTTTTTGCGCTTTTTGAACATGTTCGACATTACAATGCTGAACAAGTACTACGGCATTCCTTCCAGTCTCGATCAAACCAAACAGTGCCCATATACGCGACTTAAGTCTGATTTGATCGAATGGGAAACAGTCTGTGTTCTTTTTCTCCTTCTTCAGCGCCGCATATTTGTGAGCCATTACTACGATTTTGTCATGCAAGATGCAAAAGAGTCACGGGCTTTAGCCGTTGAAGGTGGAAAACTGATTCAGAAAATGAATGATGACGATTTAAAAGCAAGAACTGAAATGAGAAACAAGATCTCGAAACAGCTCCAAAACGCAGTTGAGCAAATCAAAAAACGATTCAAAGGGGAAGAGTGGGTAGAACCCAAAACGCACCTGGAGGCCATTTTTAGCGGACATAAGTTTTTTGCCGGTTCACCTGAAGACGAATCTCTGATAAACGCATTGGAAGCCAGTGAAGAGTTGTCATTGTTTCTAGCAGAACCAGTTACCCCCGATGATGAAATAATAGCACAACGTTGGAAACCATTCACTGATTTTATAGAACAAAAGCTGAAAATCAGCAAAGATGACAAGAAAGATGAAAGCACTGAAACGATTGATCAGAGGGAAAAGGAAAATGACTCGCAAGCTAAAGATTGCGACACGGAAGAAATAGATAAAAGTTATGAAAAAGAACACAATAAAACAGATGATGCTGATTCAAATGATGTTTCTGAGACCAGATCACAGGCACCGATTCTGGTCTCAAAAATGACATACTACCTTCTTTACGGTGTGACTTTAGTTCTAAAAGAGCTAGGTTTTGTGATGGACAGAGCCTCTAGTAGCTTCAGACAAGTTAACAAACAGCTGATCCAATTTAGGAAAACTAGACAGAGAACAGAAACTACCAAGTATGGGCCTCTGAGAATGCCGACGGTTATCGACCGAAAACCAATAACATCCAATGTTACCGATGTAGCCATTGATATTATAACAGAAGACACTGAATTGGGTGCAAACTCTCCTGAAGCTGTTGGTCAACTGACCCCGGGGTCATCAGATTCCCCCAGACCCAGATCGTCAAGCGTTCGAGATATTTTGGAAAATCCTGAGAAGCCTCCAACAGCAGGCGAGTTTATGGTCCTGCTCCTCAAGAAGTTCTGGCTTTCGTTCTATTATTTCTTAGTAGCTCAAACTGACTATCTGTGTTACTTCATGATTACTCTGAGTCTGTTACTCAACGGCTCCATTGCCGATGCTGTTCTAGCACTGCTAACGCTTCTTTGGGGATTGTTGTCGAAACCTAGACCAAGTAAAACTTTTTGGAGCTTTTGTATTACTTATGTAGTCGGATTGATTCTGCTAAAATATTGTCTGAAATTCAGAGTCCTAGATTACAACAATGAGACTTTAGTGCCTCCGCAGACGGTTCCTCCGGGTCTTGTGTTGTTCTTCGGAATTAAGGACGATGATTCTCTGTTTATAACACAACTGCTACTCCTGATCTCCCTCTGTTTCCACAGAAATGTTTTGGTTAATTTTGGACTTTGGATTGGTCCTCCGTCACCTGGCCGAAAACTATCGCATCGGAGCGAAGAGTCGGGCTTGGAACCAGTCGAGGAGTCGGACCCGAAAGACGAAACAGCACCGCTGACAATTTTGAGGAAGCCCACCGCATCTCAGGAGCCACAAGGAGTAGGAGAACCAGCGCAGTCTATTGCTGCTGGAGGAAACGGAGAAGAGGATGAACTCGTGAATCAAGAAGGCAATCATAGTGGCGAGGAACTTATCGCATCCTTTTCTAATGAGCCACCCCAAGAGCAAATACTTCCTCCCGATCTTGTAGAAAATGAACTGGAGTCGTCAGGCTGGAAAGACTGGGCTGTCGACAAGGCCATAGAGTACAAAAACGAATTTATGAGCTTCTTTTACAATATGAAATCTGCTGACAACACAGCAGTAAAAGACGTGTACGCGCCCATGTTTTTCTTCGATGCCATGGGATATGTTATTGTTGTTTTTGGATACCATGGGTTCTCGGTATCAAACGACGATGCTGTGGATTCAGGAGGAACTCTAGTTTCGATCGTTTCTGAAAATCAAGTTCCGGTTTTATTCCTGGCGATAGTAATGATTCTTTTTGTTTACCAACTATTTGATCGTTTAGCTTACCTGACTAAAAACGTCAAGTTGAAGATATTTATATTCACGTCACAAGTGCTGCTAGTTCATTTTTGGCTGATCATCGTCAACAAAAATGTAACTGGGAAGTACTTCTCGGAGAATACGCCGGCGAAAGTGTTCTATTTCTTCCGCTGGATTTACTGGTTGCTCTCGGCGTACCAGATCAAATGCAGCTACCCAGTCAGAGTTTTAGGTAACTTTTTCTCGAAGAGATATAACATGGTTTACAAAGTGTGCATGCTGGTGTTTGTGAACATCCCGTTCGCATTTGAGATCCGTGTCTTGATGGATTGGATCTTCACAGGCACTACTCTTAGCTTCAATCGTTGGCTGGAAGTCGAAGACGTTTTCACAACCACTTTTATTTTAAACTGCACAAGAATAGCAGAACAAAACATGAAGCAAAAACGCGGCCAAACGCAGAAAGTGTTCCCTTCAAAAATTGTTTATTTCTCGGTCTTGATAGTTCTTTTGGTCATTATTTGGGGACCAATTTTGCTTTTTTCGTACCTGAACGCAACAAAAGTATCGACTGAAATTACGTACACCAATTTTAAACTGCAAATTGGATCTTATCTTCCGATTTTTGAAGCGAGTCAAATCGGAATAACGAGTTTGACGAGCGATGAGTTCGCCAAGTCTCTCAGCAAAGATATACTCGGCGATGTGAGTCATGAAGCTGAACTGATGCTGAACTTTTACAACGCGGATGGTTGTGACTTTTCGAAGGTCAAATACAGCAGCGAGAGTGAAAACATATGGACGATCACGCCACCTGCACAGAAAAAGTTGATCGATTACGTGAACAGTTCAGACGAGGTGTTGTTTTATGTCGAATACCAATTTAGCAGAGTATCATTAAGCTCGTCAGCGTCAAATTTTCCGACTACGTCGCAAGGATCAACGACGATACAGTTAGACGAACAGGCAAAAGAAGGTTTGGCGAACCTAATCCAAAATGGCTCGTCTCCTACAGAATACGTGGACATCATTGCGGCTATTCCTTCTGTGTATTATATTCAAGATACAGCAACAGTCGACAATGAGACAGTTTCAGTGGACAGAAGCCACGAATGGTACACGATTCGACTAAAGTTAAATGGCACGGCGAACGACCCGGGCTCGTATACTGGACTTACATGGTGGCTGGTAGATACAACTCGAATGCCAGACGGAGACGCAAGCAATTTCGCTGACTCGTTCAACATTTATATCGTCATGGATAAAGTAGTCCCAGATATGTATAGCTCAGTGGCAAGCTACGGAATCTTGGGCCTATACACTGCCTTTGTTCTGTTGATTTCGAATGTAGTTAAGGGCATGTTTACTGGGTTTGCGGCCAAAATCATGTGGGATGAAATTCCAGATGTATCATTGCTGCAAAACTTGACAAAAGAGATCTACCTCTGCAGAGAGACGAAAAATTTTGAACTGGAGGAGGACTTGTACGCACAGTTGCAGTATCTCTACAGATCACCTGATGCCATGATTAGAAACACAAAATATAAGATAGAATGAACTTAAATTGATATTTTCTGTTTTTTTTAATGTGATATGTTACAATAGTCTAAATTAACTCCAATATCTAATTTTCAAGTGCCCCTGTTACTAAATAAAAGTATACATTAGTTTCTTTTAAGTGTTTTTTTCCTGAAGTGTTCCTTATTCTTTGCTATCTATAACGCCAATCTGAGGGAACGCCACTCAGATGTGAGGTTTTTGTAGCTTTTTAAAAATATCGCATAATTGTGGCCGATGAGTTGATTATATGATAATTTTTTCTTTGTTTGTGTGTTGTATTTTGGCTGAAGATAAAAGTTTTTTTTTTCTTCAGTTTTTTGCTCAAATATTGGTGTCCCATAGTTGGAAAACGCTCACAATTATATCATACGCTGGGTCATAGATCTATCTAGTTAAACAAGTAAAAACCCATGATATATTAAGATTTCATTTTTTGGACCTATTTTTTTAGCACGAAAAAGAGTTGAAAAAGGTCTCTCAGTGTCCAGAAAAATTGGTTCGATTATTTTCGGTTTTCAATTTAATTTAAGAGAAATTTGACAATCGATCTATCTATCTATTATTTAATTGGCGTGTCATGTGACGCATGTTTAAGAAGTCCCTATGTTGACATGTTTAAGAGAATTCTATGAATTCTATTTTTGCATGTTTAAGAAGTCCCTATGGTCTGGGGCCAAAACATTGCAACGGTTAAAAAGTTTACTCAAGTCAGCTTTTCAAAACAAATCTGTTAGAGCTCGAATGTTTCAACTCTTACTTTTTTTCTTTATTCGCAACTTTAAACTATCAAAGTTTTTGTTTCACAATTTGTTTAATTGATTTTGACTTTCTCAAACCCATAGTGGGGTGATATCAGGGTACATTCAAGGGCCGCAATTCTAGCGTCCAAGTATAACGGCTCAAATTTTTTGGGATTTCGAGATATGGCGTTTTTTATGCTTTTTTTAATTTATTTTTTTCAAAAAATTAGAAATAGAAAAACTAACCGAACTTTAATTTCTCAAAAGTATAGTGGACTGCTATCAGGATATACTCAGAGATTGCAAATCTACTGTCCAAGTTTGACTGCTCTTATCCTTATGGTTTTCAAAATATGGTGTTTTTGATGATTTTTCTGTTTTTTTTTCTTCAAAAAATTTAGATATAAAAAAACTTACCGAAATTGAGGTTCTCAACCCTATAGTGGGGTGCTATCAGGATTACACTTAGGAGTTGCGAATCTGACGTCCAAGTTTGACTGCTCAAATCCTTTTGGTATTCGAGATATGGCGTTGTTTTATGATTTTTTCATCAAAAAATTAGATATAAAAAACTAACCGAAGTTTATTTTCTCAACCTTATAGTGAGGTGCTATCAGAGTTTGCTCCGGAGTTGCAAATCTGGCGTCTAAGTATGACTGCTCAAATCCCTATGATTTTTGAGATATGGCGTTTTTTTAGTAATTTTTTAATTTTTTTTTTTCAACAAACTTCGATATAACAAAAATCGAACTTGAATTTCTCAAGCCTATACTGGGGTGTATCAGGGTACACTCAGTAGTTGCAAATCTAATGTCCATTTTTGACTGCTCAAATCTTAATGGTTTTCGAATTTTTTAAAAATTATTTTCGAGTTTCGCCAAATTTCCAAAACCCTAAGGATTTGAGCAGTCAAAATTGGACGCTAGATTTGCAACCCCTGAGTGTACCGTGATACACCCCAGTATAAGCTTGAGAAATTACTTTCGATTTTTTTTATATCTAAGTTTATTGAAAAAAAAAAATTAAAATCGAACTTGAATTTTTCAAGCCTATACTGGGGTGTATCAGGGTACACTCAGGGATTGTTGCAACTTTAGCGTCCAATTTTGACTGCTCAAATCCTTATGGTTTTCGAAATTTGGCTTTTTTAAAATAATTTTTTCATTTTTTTTTCAAATTTAATCATTAAAAAAACTAACCGAACTTGAGTTTCTCTATAAAGGGGGCGCTATCAGGGTACATTCAAGGGTTGCAAATCTGGCATTCGGGTCTTTTTGGTTTTCGAGCATGGCGTTTTCTATGATTTTTTAATTTTTTTTGTCTTTCAAAAAACTTGATTATAAAAATTCTTTTGGAAGTTTTAATTCTCAACCCTATGGTGGGGTGCAGTCAGGGTACACTCATGGGTTGCAGTTCTTCCCTTCAAGTTTGACTGCTCAAATCCTTTTCCGAGATGTGGCGTTTTTTATGAAGAATAAACGCCTATACATGAGCGCAGTTCATCTTTGGGGTTGCAATCAGTATTTAAGTACATGTTTTAGGAAGTTCTTTCAACGTTAAGCGATCTATTTGAAGCACCATTGGTGCGAGTCATGCGCTAGTTTTTGATGAATTTTGCTGGCCTTCAAGTTTAACTAGGCTGAAGTTTCAATTTCATTTCAGCTCGATTTTAATAGCCGATGAAAATGGTTCGTGAATATTTAAAAGTTTTTTTGGAAAAATTTAAATTTTGTTCACGCCCATTTTTGTTTTCTCGACATTTGGCTTTGTTATTTTTCAAATTTTCAGTATATTTCCTTTGTTAAAAGGAATGCAATTTCAATTATTGAACAGGGAAAGTGTTTAGGTCACGCAAAACCTGACCGGCTTCTCTTTTCAAAAATGGATTTAAATTTTCAGATTTTACAGCAGAAAACTTTTACCTGTTGATCCAGTTTTCTCAAATTCAGTTAATTTTATCAATAAAAGTGTAAATCTAAAATTATTATTCGAAATCCAAGAGTCTTGCGGCCATTTTTTATTCAGTTAGAGGCCCTTTACTTATTTTTAACAAAAAAGTTATCGCCCTCAGAAAAGTCAAATTTTTGATCTCCTGACCTTTTTTTTTGCATTTCTCGAAAACTTCCCTGTCATATCTGAGATTTTTGTTTCATTCCCAAGAGAAAGTCTTGGGAAGTTCATTTGCATACGCGACTACATCCCTTTTTTTAACACAAAAAGTTATGTCCCTCTGAAAAAACAAAGTTTCAAAATTTTGAAGTTTTTTTGTAAAATTTTTGACTTCTCGAAAACTATTGTGCCAAATTCTCAGTTTAAGGTGGAATCGAGAAAGCCAGTTTTTGAATTCTTCTCTCATTTGGCGACAACGACCTCTTTTCTTAAAAGTCTTGAAAGTCTCTAATAACAATAGATGTGCTTTCATAAATATTGATGCATTTATGAATGCACTTAGATATATATGCATTTTTTGAGTTCAATTGAATTTCATCTGCTGGAAGTGACGTAAATAGCATTCTACAAATACGAGCGTATAATTGAGGCGAAAAGCAAGAAAGGTTTCTAGTTTCGAAAGTGGAATTTATTTTTTAGATTTCCAGCGGAATAAAAACTTAACATGTTGATCCAGTTTTCTCAGGTTGGGTTAAAGGTATCGAAAAAGCGCCAATCATAAATCGTTCTAGAAGTTCAAAGAGCTTAAAGATCATATAATACATGTTTTTTCTTTGAATTTCGAAAGTTGGGACTTTTTCAACAAATTCAGTGTTTTTTTTCTGTTTACTTGCGTTCATTACTCATTTTCAATCTTCGATTGGCTATGTTTTTAGTAGAGAAAGAATTGAAGTGTTGGCAAAGTCTTATCTATTGAAGTACGCATTCCGCATTATTAAAATAAACTCAAAAAATATCAAACACGTACCTCAATCTGGAGCAAATTTTTTTAGGAAAGTTTTGGTTCACCCAGTTTTTTTCTAACCTTTTTCATTTTTTATGTGTTTTTTCTGTAACCGTTGTATCGCGTCATTTTGGTTGCGTTATTTTGGTTTAGTTGCTCATAATTTGTCATTTATTGGGTGAAACACTACGGTTAGTTACCGCTCGATTTTGTTTCAATACTATTATAACTCTGGCAATTGTTTTTCTCTATGTAGTTTCACTAAATTGAAGCTCACTCGAAGTTGATTTCTTAAGATGTTGTTTGAGGCTGTTTTTTAATTGTTTTTTTTTACTCATAACTTTCGACATTTTTTATTGCGGCTTGTGTTGTAGCGCAAGTGGTGCGAAGCTCCGCTTTCGCTTTGACTAATTAAGTCAACGCAAGCCGTTTTGTTTTATCTCAAGTTGCAAAAATGTTGAGTGAGGCTCTGAAAAGTTTAAATTTTGAAATTATTTTCATTTTTTTATTCATGGAAATTTATATTGCAATTTAATCTTCGTGTTGTAAGAGAATATTAATTCTGCCAACCTTCTGGGCATTACCGGATAATCACTTGTGGGACTTTTTTCGAGTGCAATGAATCCAAATCGAAAGTGCCGATTTCGCATTCGATGTTTTTCTCGTAAATGACTCAGTTTTGAACAATACTTTCAGCCAATTCATCGTTATGAGATTAACACATAAGATCATTGTTTTCAACCAAGCATTTTCTCGTCTACAAACATTTTGTTTGTTTTGACATCCTTTTGTTTGAGCAGGTTAACCGGCTGAACATCAGACGGAATGTCACTCTTGAATTAAACAGATCGGTTCATATTAATTGAAAATGTACAAGTATGATCATTGGGTCAGAAAAATACAGATGGGCAAAAGTTTTTTGAATAAAAACAAGGTACGGTGATGTGTACATGCGTTAGTTCACTGTTTTTTTTTTTGAAATTAAGACGGGATCCAATTACCAAACTTGTACCGTTGAAAGACATTGATTTGAGAGCCATAAACTGAAGCAATTCTTGTGTCGTGGCTTGATAATTTAACATGTCGTCTACCTCTTTGAAGCGAATGTCGATGCCGGCCGTTGTAACTGCCGCTTCTTCTGAAGAGCTCTCCGGGGAACAATCTATTTGGAAACGAGTTCAGGTGAGTGTCCTTAGAGTTATCTCGGTGGCTAAACCCGACATACATCAAGGTTTGTTTTCTCTGTCAAATTTAGTCTCTCTCTTTAGTCTCGTATTATTTTGCATGGAGATATAATTTGCTGTAATGGGAAAGAGTCCAATTTTTTTTGTTCAATTCAATCAATCAAATTTCCTTGAGCAAATGTTTGGGAAAAATCAAATGTTTTAGTAAAAACCTAGTATTATATAGTTGTTGAACATCTTGATTATTGAAAAGCAGTCATATGCATGAAAGTTTTTCATGATTGTTCCATGATTTTCGGAAGCTAATAATCGGAAGTGAACATAGAAACGTAAAATGAAAACAATGTAATAAGCAAGGATAGCCGGTTGCTGTGCAAGTAGCGCAGAATGATCCGAGCAGCCTGAATTAAGTAGGCTTTAATAAAATTCTATGTTTCTAATAAGTTTCTATGCTTTTTTAAAATAAAAATATCAATATTTCTTTTCTTATACTACAACTCCTTCACGCTTCGTGAATTGGTCGGAAAAATAACAATTCTCTTATTTGGTTCATTGTTTTATCCTTTTGTTTGCTGCGTTTTGCAGGATACTTAAAGCTTTTCCAGAAAATTTGTTTGCAGTTTGAACTTATCATTTGTTGCATTTGCGATAGTTTTAAGGTCTTAACTACTGAGTATTTGAGGTTTTTGATTGATTTTTTCAAAAAAATTTCAGTACGTTTAGATTAGAGAAATTTAAGATTGCCAACACTTTAGTTAGGTGCTGTCAGGTTACTCTCAGCTGATGCAAATTTTGCCTTCAAATGTGACTGCTCAAATGCTTTTATATTCCGAGATATGATTTTGTAATGATTTTCAAAAAATTTGATTTATATTTGGTTGCACGCCTTGCTTCCAAATATGACTGCCCAGTTGCATTTGGTTTCCGAGATATGACAATTTCATAATTTTTGCAAAAAATTTCAGAAAATTTAGATTTAAATAAATTCAGTCTTTGAAATTTTCAGTCCTGTCGCTGGGTGCTGGCAGGATAATTTTAGAGGTTGCAAGTCTTGTATCTAATTGTGACTGCTCAAATGGTTTTAGTTGCCGAGATATTATTTTTTAAATGATTTCAAAAAAGTGAAATGAAAATTATCTCAAAATTGAAATTTCACAACTTCAGCTGGATGCTGCCAGGGTAATCTCAGGGATTACGAATCTTTCCTCGGAATGAAACTGCTGAAATCTTTTTAGTTCAGAGATAATTCAAAAAAATTTAATTCATAAAAAATGTTTTTCAAAATTTGAAATCGTCGACCCTTTGGTGGGTTGATGCCTGATTACTACCAACACATGCAGATGTGGCCGACATCCTAATGTGATTGCTGAGTTTTTCAAATTTCACGAAATTGGTGTTTTTCATAATATTTCAGATGTTTTCGATAAATTTTCATTAAAAAAAAATCTTTCTCAAAAAGGCGGGTTGATGTCATTTTTCTCCCACGGGATGCAGAGGTGGCTTCCAAATATGACTGCTCGAATCCTTTTAGTATGTATCCCTCTTTCGTTGTGCTGTGATGGTACTCCCAGGCGATGAACATCTGGCATCTAATTACGACGGATTTCGCTTGCTTATCAAGCGTAATCAAATCGGAATATAGTTTTTTTTTCGTGTTAACAACTTGTTTAACAGAATTATTTGAACCATTTGGTATCTTAGTTCGTAATAAATTCAAGTTTGTAAAAGTTTTCGGCCGATTTAGTCTTTAGGTAACGAATATGTCTGTGACGCCAAAGGTCGTGGGTTCGAAACTGCCCGGACCTCTTTATTTTTCAAACGGGAATTAGTCCGTTTCAAAAAAAAAACCTTGTCCGCTTATTATTGTGTGCTTATGCTTTAACGGCTTAGTTGCCGTATTGAATTTTTGTTTTAAATTTTTTTAAATTAAAGTTGTTTTTGGTGTTTTGATTTACCTCTGCTCTTTGTAATTTTACTAAACTATGCATATATATTTTTTTTTAAATTTGTTCTGCCCAAATGCTTTCGGCCTATTTTTTTATTAGCTTAGTGACCTAATTTTCGAGTCGTTTCAACGGAAAAATATATTGCCCACCTCTATATTGCACAAAATGCTAAAAATCTTAAAACAAATGTAGGTCAAGTTTTTCATGTTTAAATTTTTTTTCCAGCTTTTTTCTTTCTTTTTTTCCTATAAAATGTCGGCTTTTTGGCCTCATATTGCGTCTTTTGAAGAGCGAAAAAAGTTTCGTGTGAGTGTGTGTTTGTGTTTTGAGTTTGAGAGGGACCTACTAACTTCTTATTAGTCTTTAAAAAATTTTGATTTTTTTTCGGCTTTTTTTTTGGGCTTAATAGTTTTCGTCCTATATTGTATCGGCTTAGTGGCCTCATATTGTTTCATTTGACGAACAAAATAAGTGTTTTGAGGGTGATGTGGACTTACTAATTTTTCGTATATCTGTAGTCTCTTTGATTTTTTTTTGGCTTAAAGGGTTTCCGACTAGGTATTTTCGGCTTTGTTACTGTTGGCTACAGTATCTTCAGATGCTTATTACACATTTTTTTATCTTGGCATGTTTTTGTTCAAAGTTATTCTTATTCATTTTATTATATCTAGTTTTTTTTACCTTTTTTTTCTGGTTTTGTATCGCAAGTGGTGCGAAGCTCAGCTTCGCCTCTGTGTCAACATTTTTAGGCTTCCGGGATGAAGATGTTTATGATTTTAAAAAGTTTCGATCAACTTAAGATTTAAATTGAGAAAAAGAGTTCGTAAGTTATGGTCGGTTAAACTGTTGATAGCAGCAAAGGGTATACGTGCAGGCTATTGAAAAAGATTAAATAAGTTAAACTAGAATCTGAATTATGAAATCAATTATTTTACAAATGAAATCGTTTCAGAAGTTTTTAAAGGTCAAATTTGCATTTCGATCCCGTCTGCCATTTCAGGGATTTGTTTCTGAGCTAACAATGCGATGATCTGAAACTCCTTGGACTTGATTTGATTTTTATCGTTCAGTTTATGAAATAAAAAGCGTTGCTAGATGCCTCCGTCTAATTTTACAGTGGCATTAATTTACTTATTTTTAATGCGCACTTGCGATAGCAAGTTTCTTGTTATCGGGAACTAGACTTTGTTCCCGTGAGCAACTTCTTTTAACACCTTCTTAATTGAAATTGATGTTGCTTCATTATCAAATCTGACCATTATCTAGGCCGCATCATACTTGTTCTGAAGGTGATGAAGTTGCTTTTGCAGTCTATGGCGAGGGGTTCGAGTCCTGGCTGGACCTTTTTTCAGTGTCTGCAATTGAATTTTTTTCCGGAAAAAATTGATTAGTCGGGCTATAGGTTGTCGGCTTATGCTTTGTCGGCTTAGTTGCCCTACCACATTTTTTGGCATTGTAACCAGTTTCTTGTTTCCTACAAATCAGTTCGCTCGGTAGTGAAAAATAAAATTTATTTATTTTTAATTGCTCAATTGTTTTTTATGACAACATATTACTTTGTCATTTTTTGTTTTCGGAATAATTGACGTCTAAAAGCGCAATGTCGGCTTAGTGAATATTAATGACTATGTTTCTCGTCTGGCTCTCTGAGATTGGACAGTTCGTATTTCAGAAAAAAAAATGTTTTTCTTATGACAATAATGTCCGTTGCCATTTTTTGTTTTCAGATGAATTGGCGTTCATCCACCGTTTTGTTGACTTAATGGACGCTCAAAAAGTAATAAAAGCTTGCTTAATGCTAGTGGTTGTGTTTCCAGTTTGTTTTTCTGAGATCGAGTTTTTCGTAACTTGATTTTTTCATGACAATAATTTCTTTTGTCATTTTATGGTTTAAGATCCATTGATTTCTAACCACGTGTGGTTGGATTTGTGAACGCTCGGAAAATACTAGAAGCTTGTTTAATGCTGGTGGTTGTATTTCTCGTCTGTATCTTAGACGTTGAATGTTTCGTATTTCCAAAAAAAAGTTTCTTTCCTAAAAAAAACTTTTTTCCCATATTTTTTCCATCTTGCTGGCTGTTTGGTAGCTTGCAATGTCACGCTTTTGTTATATCGCAAAAAATTCGAAGCTTCACATCGCTTCTTTGTTTATTTTACGTATAAGCAATTATCAATCTCATCAATCTGTTGAAGCACCGGGGGTGCATGACACTCTAGTGAATGAATTGAATCCTCTGAATTCCTGGAAATCAAGTTAAAAAACTGTTCTGGGTTTGATCAATTTTGCATTTAATGGCAAACTCGTATCTTTCAAAACGTCTCTTGAACCCCTACTACTAATTTTTGATGATCTACTGACTTCTGAAAAACATATGGGTGCTATTAATTCCACGTGTTATTTCCACATGAGATTTCTCCACACGAGAATCTTGTGATGCTATAACGTCATCTGATTCTTAGCACGCTAGGCTATTGTAACTCACTTGTAAGTTAAATATTGGTACACTCCAGAAGACACAGATTTTCGTTGCTCGCTTCATTTCAACTTTTATCGTTTCAGCAGTACCAGCCTTCATCTACCTGATCGTAACTGGCTTCCTGTATTTCAAAGAATTATGATTTCCTAACAGTACTGTTTTTTTTCCATCAGAACATGTTAATTTCATATAACTTCTTGTTTAATAAAAACATATCTAGGAATGAATACTTTTACAAACAATAAACTATGTAAATTAAACTGCACGTGGCACCAATTATTTCATTGTTTTTTTTAAAATTAGCTTCATAAGAAAAAAATATATAATTACAAGTAACTTCTGAATCCATCGAGCGATCTAAGAATTGGTAATGATTCGTGTTTCTGTAGAAGGTATGTCTTTATTCTTTCTTTGGTTTTTTTGCGAGATGTGATGAGTCTGAGATCTTTAGTCAGTGAATTGTTTTTTTTTCCAAAAAAAGTTTATTTCCTAAAAAACGTATTTTTCCATCTTACTGACTGTTTAGTAGCTTGCAATGTTATGCTTTTGTTATATCGCAAGTGATTCGAAGCTTC